CCTACTTAATACCCAGCCCCCACCTGTTTCTAAATCTTCATCTCTTTGTAGGTAACATAGATTACTGTTCTCATCGCAGCAGAGGTGGTATGTTATGTAATGTATGAACATCAAGGTCTAGCAGGGTGGAGACCAAAGAGGAAACAGTACCACTTCCATCCCCTCAAAATGTCTTACCTACATGCTACTTCACACCCAGCCCCCAATCATTTCTAACCCATCATAAAACGTGATCTCTTGTAGGTAACATGGACTGCTGCTCTTAGATCTCAGCCAACCAGAGATAACCTCTCTTATGTAATTTATTACCCTCGGGGCCCAGCATGGAAACAAAGGAGAAATCAGTACCACTGATCTGTTTCTAAATTTAATTAAACTTAGTCCAGTTTCAGATACATAATACTGTAATTAGAAACATTGTAGTAGTTTATTAAAGCCTTCTACAACAAAATTATCAACTACTTTTAAAATGTAACTTAACCCTATATTATACGCTTTTTATTTGAACGTGCAAAAAAATTTTTATGCTGTGTTTATGTTATGGGTAGATCATAGATCACTTCTATATGGATAATTTGTAAAACAATTATGGGATATTGCTTTTGTAGGTATGTTGCCATGCGGCAACATGGTGCGTATAAGGGTAAAAATTTCAGTAGTTGCCAAATGGCAACAAACTAACACATTTTAGTATAAACAAAGACAAACAAACTCTAGGGCAGTACAAACTAAAGATTTATTAAACCTATCAATAATATATGTATTTCAACACATATTGGTAATTTTCACATACTACTAAAACACATAAAAATGTATTTATTTATATTTGAAACTCATAAGAAAGAGATAAACTTCCAAAACTTGTGATCACATTATTTAATTGCATTATAATCCTAACCCTTATTTTGGACCTAACACCATTAGTACCATTATGTATCTGTTTAGGTAAATTTGGAAAGTATTATGAGTAACTTAGTAAAACATATCTTTATTTTTTATCACATGCGAATGTTGTAGTTAAAATAAGTTGCTATAGCAATTTTCCTAATGGGATTGACACAAGTGTGTATTTCTTGAACTTGTTTGTTGTAGTAAGTTTCTGGTAGCTAAGAGGTTTATTAAAAAAAACTTATACAAGCACATAAATTGTCCAGTGATAGTTGTTCTTTTAGACGCACTGCATGGTACAATACACTTTTTACCCCCTTACATTATTGTGATTACTAAAATATCTATCAGATAATAACTATGTATTCTAGCTGCTGGAATATTTACAAATATTTACATCACTAACATATATTATGATGGCTAACAGGAATGTTCCTAGCACGTTTTAAAATTTTTTTTTACAAAACTGAATTTCAAAATTCAATTATTTACACAATTCCCATACAACTATCCCTTTACAACAAGAGAGCCAATTATATTATTATATTAGTATCTTTTATATCCTCATAATTGTCCACAACTTGTAGATTTTATTTCTTGGTCCTACAATGGTGTGGTGTCAGACACTTTATTTCTGGTGTGGCATAATATCTGTTTCTTCTGAGAGAACTTGTGCCGTGTTTCATATATCTTCACCTGATAAACACAAATAAAAATATCAAGTTACCCACCATTTAACTGTAGGCTACTGGAATAAAACTTACTGTGTCAATATTACACAAACATTTGTTTCCCTATAAGAAAAGGTTAACATTTCTAAGAATAATTAGTCAAACAAATATGCTCGTGTCGTCAATAACATTTCTGCGCTAAATAAACCCTAAGGTATAATTAATTACAGGGGCGTAGCGAGGGGGGGGGGGGGGGCGGGGGGTGCGGACCGCACCGGGTGACACCATTTAGGGGGGTGACACCAAGGCAAAAAATAGCAAAATATATAGAGAAAAACTCGAGGGGGGGTGCAAATCGAAAAATTGAGGGGGGTGGGGGGTGCAAATCGAAAATTTGAAAGTTTGTCCCTGGGAAGGGTCTCTATGCCTCTGGGGGGTGGGGGTGACACCATTAAGTGCCGCACCGGGTGACACCCGACCTCGCTACGCCACTGATGCATTATTTTGGTAATTAAGGCTAGATATCCTGACATGTAGTGTGCCCAAACAATAATTACATTATCAATAAATAGTGTCATTGATTACTTATTGTAAACATTTTTTTATGATTACAGAGCTCCTAAATCTATTTGTAACTAACCGTCATGATTTTGAAATGTATCTGAAGTGTTTTCTGGCCATCTGTTTGGTGATGCTTCTAACTTTTCTTTTCATGTTACTCTAATAAAATTCTCTAGAATCCATTTTTATCAGTAACTAGCAGCTTCTGAAAAAATAATTTAAAAATTAAAAACTAAATCATATAGGCTAGGATTATATTATAAATTTTATAAGCCGATAGTCAAATATATTGTAAAGTTTATATAAGTAATACTACTACTATTCTAAATCAGTAATGTTCTTGGCTAAATAATATATTGCATTTGCCAATTACAGTTTATATATATTTTTTATAGTGATATATGTGCTAAAATAATTAGATCTATTTAGTAGTTATACTAATAATAGTAAATAGGCCTATTAGTAGGCGGATAAATTTAGTAAATAAATTTTCTTTCTGTGACATCCTCTCAACAAAAGAACTTAGGAAGTAATTGGTAATAGGAGCATTATTATCTTCTTTGAATATAACTAAATACATTGAAAAATCTTTTTAAAAAAATTGATTTATTGTTGCCATTTGGCTACAGAGCATGACAGTGACCTCTGTTGCAATATGATGCCATATGGCAACAAACCATTTTCGATCTAAATAAGTATGTAAATCATGTTACATGATACATATGATAGAATATACACAATTTAGAATAGTTTTGAAATAGCATTATAATTTTTTATAGTACTTTATGATAAAAAAAATATTTAAAAAATACCAACCTTCATGGTGATCAGCTGGCCCACATTCTCACGAAAATGAAATCGGAAATGGAACAAAAAATTTCCACTAAAAAGAGTTCGCATTTATTTTGTAAGGAGATTATAATAAAGGGATGAAACACTATAGTTAATGTGTATCTCTAAAATTAAACATTTGTGTGTGTTAAAAATGGTACGTTGCCATATGGCTACAGTATGCAACATAGGGTTAAGTGGCAGATTCTAGATCTAAGTCTAGTCATACAATCTATTTCAATTTCAGATAATTTCGTTTGCTAAATAAAATGATTAGAATCTTTAGCTAGATTCTAGATCTTAGAGACAATTACATTTTTATTATTACTATATTTTATTTGTTAATTGTTGGTGTATTATGAATCTAATTATAACAGTTAAATGTATATGAATGTATGTTGCGAGTGTGTATTAAAAAGGCGAGATAAAATATAAAATATAGTGTGG